TATCACTGAATTGAAAAAAAAAAAAAGAAAGAAAGAAAGAAAAAAGAACAGTTATGCATGTGTGAATTCCTAAGCCCTGCCATCCCCCATGGCCTCCCTTGCCATCCCCCATGGCCTCCCAGGCATCTGGTGAAGCTGTAGTCCGTCCCCGGGCACCCAAGGGTTTCCTGCCCTCTCCCCTCACCAGGCTCTCCAGCCCCACTTCCCTCCCTATAAACGTCCACCCTCTTACCCAGCCCCCTATCAACTCTCACCATGTTACTTCCTTTTCTCTGGACGACACCTGTCGCTGCCCCCTCCATGCCCACCCTGCAGGATCCCAGTTCCCATTCTTCCTCCCAAGATCCTGCCCCTGGCATGAGCACACCCTTGGACGGAGCAGAACTCCCCTCTGAGGACGTTGATGTGCACAGGGCTGTGGAGGTCCCTGCTACACATAAGCTCAGGCACCTGGCGGCGCCAACATGGGGTTCAGAAAGTGCTGGGCCCTTGCATGGCAGGGACACAGCCCCACTTTCATGACGGCCGGAGCTCTGACCTAGTGCAAGGTTTCCAGCACCCTGGCAAACAGTGCACGGCAAAGAGAGGGGACACAAGGCCAACCATCAGAGAAGGGAGTCTGGAAGAGGGTGGTCTGGTCGAGGACTCGGCTGTCCTCCCTTCTGCATGTGACAGTGTGTCCCCTGCCCTAGTGAGGACGCAGTCAGTGTAGTGGCATCTTTCAGGGTTGTCACACGGGCCTCATGACCCCAGATGACTAACAAGGGCGAAGGGTCGGGGAGTAGACGGCTGGCTAAGGGTCAGGGTACAGCCCAGGTGACGCTGTCAGAGGCCTGCTGGACCAGGGAGGCCAGCCAAGCCCTCAGAGTCTCCCTGGGCTTTCCTTTCTCCATTCCTAGGGGGGGTCTGGGGCAGGGGTGGGGATTGACTGGAGGCCAGAGCTGTGAAGGCAGAGATAAGGGGTGGGACATCATAATCCTTCCCCCAAGACCAAATGATAAGGTCCCCAATCAGCACCTCCGCTCATTCTTCCCTGTGCAAACACCGTTAAGCACTTGGCCCTCAGTAGCAGGTGTCAAGGCCCAAGGAGTCTCTACCCCTGGCTCCCAGGTCACTTGCAGACAAGTGAGGGAGAGAGTCTGAAACAACACAGAGGTTATACCTCTAACAGCCATGGCTGCTGTTTCCAAGGCTTTCAGCCCAACAAGCAGATACACCACGCGCGCACACACACACACACACACCCCTCCCACAGTGTGACCCTGAGCAAACAGACAGACCATAAAGCCATAAACAGATGGTGAATGAAAGAAATGGTTATTTGAATGGCCTTTCTTTTTATGGACGTTGTAGGAGAAGAGGTAATAAGCGCTGTTGCCCAGAATGGGGTGTGGCGAGAAGGAACTTTGGAAAGGGCGTGGACCGCAGGGGAGGGACTTCTGAGTGCCTGGTCCAGCAGCCAGGGAAGAGGATAGGGGATCAGGATGGGGAACAGGAAGGAAGAAACCCAGGGCTGTTGTCGCTGGGGCCATGGGGCAGGCAGGGTGGAGGAGAACTGAACGGAGATCGCAAGCACACAGCCCTGGATTTCAATCCCAGCCTCTCCAACTGTGATCTTGGACAAATGACTTAATTGTTTTAAGTGTTGCCTCCCTGGCTTTTAAAAGTCTGGCTAATAATAGTACCTCCATCATAAAGTTGTTAGCAGGATCACATCAGATAGGGTTTATAAAACAGTTATATGTACACTGGCACACAGGTCAGCATTCCCAATTACTAAGGAAGCCAACAACAACAAGAACAATAAAAGACAGCGAGGATGCCGCCCCGCACGGCACCTCCGGGCGCCGAGCTTCCCTAGGTGGAACTGGGGCAGGCCTGGCCACGTCCTTCTTCGCTCCCCCTGGGGGCTCCCCACCCGTGCATCCCGCCTGCCTCATCAACAGAAAACGGAGACAGATGTTTACGGCGGGAGGCTCCTTCTAGGCTCTCCCTGCCTCCTTCCAGATGCTGGCATCCCCCATGACCAAAGCTCCCCCATGCAGGCAAAGACAGGGTGCTCAAGGGCCTGCTACAAGCCATGAGCGTCACCTCGGGCTCGGAACAGCTTGGAATGCTGCCCACGGGCTGCACTTTCCCAAGTGGCCTGTCCTGACAGAACGGCTCTGCCATCCACAGCTCCTTATGAGTCAGCTGGGAAGAAGGAGGGGTGAGGGCCCGGCAGACTCCGCTTCCATCAGCCCCTGGTACTGGGTGCGGGGGCTGATGGGTCTTCCAGCTTGACCCTCCTCTGCCCTGCCTGGCCTGTTGGTCTAAGGAGAGCTACACCTTGAGGGGTGGGGCCGTGTTGTGCTCCTTGGGGTGTCCCAGGGAGCCCCAAGCACATAGTTGGAGCCCAACAAGTGTTTGTTTAATCGTGGGGGCGGGGGTGCCAGGGCCATTCCTGCGGCCTGAGTCAGGCCTTGGAGCTGGGAGCCAACTGCCGTGAGCCAGCCCTGAAGAGCCCTCGGCCTCTGGAAGCCCAGCTCAACCAGGTCTCCCATCTCCCCCGCAGCAGCAGCGAGCTGGATACCGAGTGTCCCATCGCAGCTTACAAAGCCAGGGAAAATAAACCCACAGCAGACTGCAAGACAGAGTCGGTCTGTGTAGCGTGTTTATTTATGTAAGTCTAAAATGCCCGAGATAGGATAGGTGCCACCGCCACGCTGAGGAAACCGCGGGACCCAGAGTGGTCATGGAGACAGGCCCGGCCCTCACGGGCCAGCGAGCTAGTCCTTCCCAAACTCAACCCAAACTCCACCAGAGCGTCTGGTGCTGTGCCGAGGCAGGGGATCAAGACGCAGAAGTCAGGGGCAGGAGTGTGGGGTGGCGGTGAAGACGCTGTTTGGGAACTCGATCCCCACCTCCGAGGGCCTGGGTTCGAGACCTGGGTCTGCTTCCAATGCCAGCTGCCCGCCAGGGCTGACACACTGGGAGACAGTGGGGCTGGCTCAAGTACTTGGGTCCCTGTCGCCCACACGGCAGACTGGGATCCAGGTGTTGGCTGCTGGCTCTGGCCTGACCCAGCGCCAGCTCTTGCGGGGCCCCGAGGGGATCACTTTTGGTCACTCTCCCTCTCGAAGGAGAAAATATTTTCTAAAGAAAAAGAGTATCCTCACATTTGTGAGGTCCCTGGGAGCCTGTCCTGGGCCCTTCCATTCTCCTCACTCTATCACCTCTCGGCAGGCCTCAAGTTCCCCCTTGGGGGCCCGGTGGCGTGGCCTAGCGGCTAAAGTCCTCGCCTTGAACGCCCCAGGATCCCATATGGGCGCCGGTTCTAATCCCAGTAGCTCCACTTCCCATCCAGCTCCCTGCTTGTGGCCTGGGAAAGCAGTCAAGGACGGCCCAAAGCTTTGGGACCCTGCACCCACGGGGGAGACCCAGAATAAGTTCCTGGCTCCTGGCTTCGGATTGGCATAGCATCGGCCGTTGCGCTCACTTGGGGAGTGAATCATCGGACAGAAGATCTTCCTCTCTGTCTCTCTTCCTCTCTGTATATCTGACTTTCCAATAAATAAAAATAAAATCTTTTAAAAAAAAAAGTTCCCCCTCAGCTTCAGCCATCACCTGGACCCCAGACCAATCCGTTTGGGATGCTCCAAGTCAAAACAGGTGAGTGAACCCCCAAAGCCACAGAACCCCAGTGCTTCTCTGTATGTTTTCCACCAGGGGTGGCAGGGGAGTTCCAAGCTGAGATCTGCTTCTGGTCTCCCTGCCCAGCACCCTGCATCCGGTCCCCAGTTCTCCCACCAGTCACCTAGGTCTCACCCCGGGGTCTCTCTCTGCTACTCAGTTTTTAAAAAAATATTCATTTATTTTAATTGGAAAGGTAGACATACAGAGAGGAGGGGAGACAGAGAGGAAGATCTTCTGTCCAATGGTTCACACCCCAAGTGGCCACAACAGCAGGAGCTGAGTCAATCTGAAGTCAGGAGCCAGGAGCCTCTTCCAGGTCTCCCATAGGGGTGCAGGGTCCCAAGGCTTTGGGATGTCCTCAACTGCTTTCCCAGGCCACAAGCAGGGAGCTGGATGGGGAGCAGAGGCGTCAGGATTAGCCCTGCCTCCCATGTGGGATCCTGGTACATCAAGGTGAGGACTTTGGGGGTGCTAGGCTACCGCACCGGACCCCTCCTCTATTCACATGGTGGATGGATCACCAGGTCCTGGCAACCGGGCCTCAGCCCCGGACTCTGTCCTCTCCACACCCTGCCCCAGGTCAGGACCTGACCTCTGAACAACCACCTCCCTCCCATCGTCTCCCTGTCTCCAGTCTTATCTCCCACTAATCCCTCCTCCTCCCGGCCTTCAGGACGGGCCCCTCCCGACTCAAGGCCTTCCCGGGACAGCAGGGGTGAACCTCAAGTTCCCATGAAGCTCTGGCAACTTCTCACTGCCTCCTCTCCCCCTCGTGCTGCGCACGGCCGGGCAGCACACTCCTGAAAACTGCCACAACCATTAACCAAGGGACCCCGTCCCCTTCCCCGCCCTCACTGGGCAACACTGGGATAAACTCCAGGCAACGTGTCACAAGAGATCCCGCAGGAGGGCACGCCGCTCCCGACGGCCAGGGACGCATTTTGGACCCGGGTGGGCTCCGCGTCCGCCTCAGGACAAGCGGCCGCCAGCGGCTCTCGGGCGCCTCCTACCGGGAAGGCCCCGCCGCCGCAGCTTCCAGTGGATTCCGCCCCTGCCCGGGCCTAGTCCCACCTCGCGCCTCTTATTGGCTGTCCTCGGTGCTCCCGCCCCCTCGAGGCTCCGCCCTTTGCCTCCTCTTCTGGGTGGGCGGGGATTGAGGCGGCGGGGGTGGGGTGGGGCGATGAAGCGTGCGCTCCGATTGGCTCCGCGCGAAGCGGTGACGTGTCCGAAGGAGGCCCGTTGGTGCCTAAACTCAGACTCAACTTCAAAGGCTCTGGATTGGTGCTGGGTCAGGGCGGGGCGGGCATACCACTCCGGCCGGAAGCGGAAGGGGGAGAAAGATGCAGGTGTGGAGATGGGGAGACCAGGGCCTTGGGAGACCAGGGGAAGGGGACCCCGGGACTACCTGACCCGGCTATCCTCCGCGGCCCCCAGGGCGGCGGTTGCGATGAGCGCGCGGGAGACGCGGCGCTTCCCCCGCACTCACGTCCCGCTCCCCGCCGTGTTTCCCATCAGGATCATCAGCACGTGCCCATCGACATCCAGACCAGCAAGCTGCTCGGTAGGACTGGACGCCCCGCGCAGCCGGCCGTCGGGCAGGGGGCCTGGGGTCGGTCCAGGCCCGCAGCCGGGAGCTCGGACACCGCAAAGCACGGGTGGAGGGCGGACCCCGGCCTGCTTCCTGGCCCCCGCCCCCGTCCGTGGTCACACCTGCCTCACGATTTCTGCTGTCAGTTCAGGGATGGAGGCTACAGGCTTGGCTGTCCAGGCAGCCAGCTAGCTGCTGAGTGGCGGCAGATCTGATGGGCACTTAAGGCTGACTCAGCGTCTAGGCTTTTTTGCTTGATGTCAGAAATTTCGCCTGCTTGTAATTGTATCTGTTTTGAAAAGCACAGTTATGGAGGTAAAGACAGAAGTCTTCTATCGGCTGCTTCACTTGCTAAACGGCCAGGCTAAAGCCAGTAGCCTCATCTGGCACTATTATATGGGTTGCCAGCGTCCCTTGGTACACCACCATCCTGACCCCCAGTGGGAGCTATGTCCCGTCTCTTCAGGCCATGTGTGTGAATTTGTCCTTGTTTACCAAAAAGACCCAGAAAGCATTCATCTCAGCTTGCTCTGTCTCAGGTACTGTTTCGAGCAGCTGACATGCTAACAGGATAATTCACATGTGATCTGTCCTTGTCACGTGTCAGGCCCCAACGCCCTGGTTTCCCTCCATTCAGCACTTTGCTCGGTGTTGTCCCTGCCTCCACTTTGCAACGGAGGCACGGAGCAGTAGAGCAACTTGCTCAAATACCTGCTGGTTAGAACCCAGAACCACCAAGCTTTCTGCTGGTTCCTGCCTGGCTCAAGCCGCCAGGCCAGGGGGTTCAGGCTGGGGAGTGTGGGGGTCAAGGAGACAGGTAGGCACAGACTCCTGGTTGCCAATCCTCTGGCTCTGTAGGTGTTCAGGGCTTTGTCATTGCTGCTTCAGACGGCATCCGACATAGCTCTTGTGTGTTTCCCCCCATTGTGATGATTAACCCTGGTCTGGAAGGAAGTGGAACAGCATCCCTCAGTGCCAACAAGAAAGATACAGTTACCCAGGGAGGCAGAAATGCTGGGGGGAGAATTTAGAGTGATCTAAACCGAGGTGGAGCTCTCCAGTCCAGACCAGGTGGCCGTGCTGTGGGAACGGTCCTGCCGGGAAGTTGGGGCACTGGGGGGGGTCTGTCTCTTCCCTTCCTCGCACGACCAGCAGGAAACCAGCTTGGAGGCACTCGGTCAGTGTCCAGCCCTTGCCCTCGTGGCGGCATGCTCCCCCGGGAGGAGCGAGGGGGAAGGCTGTGACGTAGGTGTCTGTCGTGCAGACTGGCTGGTGGACCGGAGGCACTGTAACCTGAAATGGCAGAGCCTGGTGCTCACGATCCGGGAGAAGATCAACGCCGCCATCCAGGACATGCCGGAGAACGAGGAGATCGCCCAGCTGCTCTCAGGGTCCTGTGAGTATCTGCGCCTCTGGGCCCTCCTTTCCTGGAGCCAATTCTGCTCGTGGAGCTCCTGAAGCTGACTTCAGAAAGATGAAGGAAAGAGCCATGTGGTAGTGGTGGTGGGGTGACCAGCATTGTGGCACAGCTCGTTAAGCCTCTGCCTGCAAGGTTGGCATCCCATATGGATGCCGGTTCGAGTCCCGGCTCCTCCACTTTGAATCCAGCTGCCTGTGAATGTGGGTGAGGCCGACACTGTCACTGACCAAGTTCTCGCTCTTTCTTTCCAGACATTCACTACTTCCACTGCCTCCGCATCGTGGAGCTTCTCAAAGGCACCGAAGCCTCCACCAAGAATATTTTTGGCCGGTACTCATCACAGCGGATGAAGGCAAGTGAGGGCCGAGGGTTGCTGGCACAACTGGGGCATCCAGGCCGCGGGGTCGGGGGCCGATCCTCTCTCCCCAGGGCCTGCTGGAGACACCTGCATTGAATATTTCTCTCTGTCCTTATACTCTGTCTCCAAAGTGGATCCCGTCCTTGGGTTTCCATTTTCAGATCCCCAGCTTTGGGATCTGGGACGCTGTTGAAGTAGATGGTCCAGGGGCCTTGAGGCATAACGGCTCAAGCCACCACCTGTGAGGCCAGCATCCGATATGGGTGCTGGTTCGTGTCTCAGCTGTTCCACTTTTGATTCAGTTCCCTGCTAATGGTCTGGGAAAGGCAGCCAAAATACCTGGGCCCCTGCCACTTACGTGGGACACTCAGAAGAAGCTCCTGATTTTAGCCTGTTGCAGTCAGTTGGGAAGGGAACCAGTGGACAGAAGATTCTCTCTTTCTCCTTCCGGCCTTTTGGAACTCTGCCTTTGAAATCAATAAATAGAACGGGTTGGCAACATTGTGAAATGCAGAGGGGTGTGAAGTTTGTGTGAGGTGCAGGCTGTAAGAGCTTTTGATGTTTCGGGGGGCGGATGGGGCCGGAACGTGGCTGCCAGGCTTCCTCCCAACTCGCTTGCCCTTTCCGTCTGTGCGCAGGATTGGCAGGAGATTGTAGCCCTGTATGAGAAAGACAACACCTACTTAGGTAAAGGCGCTCGCTGTTCGACTTCCGGTGTTCCTGGGCAAGCCCACTCCCAAGCCCTGAGACCCCCAGCCTGCGGGAGGGAGAGCCTGGGGCGAAGCAGCTACCAGGTGGTGGGTGGGAAAAAAACAGCTTCCCAGCACGCCAGTAGGAGAGTGGGTGCCAAGCAGGTGGGGAGGAGCGGGCATCTGCTGTCAGGTGTCTGTGGGTCTTGGTAAGGTGGAGGGTGCCTCCTGCACGCCCCCTTCCTTGCCAGCGGCAGAGGTGTGAGTCACCCTGGGGGACACGCCAGGGCCTGAGAGAGGGCTGCACTCTCTCAGTGGCTGAGCTGCAGCTGGGCTCTGCTTGCGCGTGGGCTGCACAGTCACGATGACCAGTGATGGGGTCTCGCGTGGATTTTCTCTTCTCCCCCTATCATCGTCTCTGTGCTACAAACAGGGGTTAATGGAGTGAGATGACAGACCTCGTGTCTCGAGGCCCACAACTAGGAAGGGCGTGTCTGGGGTGGGTGGGTGGGGTGAAGGACATCCCCCACACCCGCACTGCCACACCTAGCTAGGGTATGTATGTGGGTACCCCCAGGGTGACTGTCCTGGGCCCTCCGCAGTGGAACTCTGTAGCCTCCTGGTTCGGAACGTCAGCTATGAGATCCCCTCACTGAAGAAGCAGATTGCCAAGTGCCAGCAGCTGCAGCAGGAGTACAGCCGCAAGGAGGAGGAGGGCCAGGCCGGGGCCGCCGAGCTGCGGGAGCAGTTCCATCACTCGTGCAAGCAGTACGGCATCACGGTGAGCGCCCCCTCCACCCCAACACACCCACCTCGCGGCCGGCCCCCCCCCCCACGCTCTCTGACAACATGTCCCCTCACCTGTCGCCTTCCTCCTCGGCCCTTCTCCAGGGAGACAATGTGCGGAGGGAACTGCTGGCTCTGGTGAATGACCTGCCGGGGCAGCTGGCTGAGATCGGGACAGCGGCTCAGTCACTGGGTGAGGCCATAGACCTGTACCAGGCCTGCGTGGGCTTCGTGTGTGAAAGGTGAGTGTGGGGGGGGTCCTGCCCACTTGACATCGCCGGCCAGGCCAAGTCGGGGGGTGGCTTGGTGAGCGGTCAGCGGGATGGTCACTGTGCGGCCTGCCGAAGCCCCACAGAGCAGGTGCTGCCGATGCTGCGCTATGTACAGGAGCGGGGCAACTCCACAGTATACGAGTGGAGGACGGGCATGGAGCCCTCTGTAGTGGAGCGGCCGCGCCGGGAGGAGCCTGCCGAGCCAGTGGAAGAGGATACGGTGAGAGCAGCTCCCCTTGACCTGGGAGGAGGACGGTGGGTTTACATGGGAAACTCCCCACGGGTCACTGGCTTTGATCGAGGGCCCAGGCTCGCAAGCCCGCTGAAGGTGGCTTCCTCCCAGGCAGCTTGGCGCGTTTGAGCTCCTGCACCTGCTAGAAGCTGTGGGGACTCTGGGATGGCAGCCCCCTGTCTGTGCTCACCTCCTCCAGCTCATGCTCTTTTCCCCTTGCAGATCGACTGGGGTGACTTCGGGATGGAGCCAGCTTTGCAGGCCACTGACGCTGGCATCTCTACCGAGGCCGCTGGCATCGACTGGGGCATCTCGCTGGAATCAGACCCAAAGGTGAGGCTGCCCTGCCACACAGCTGCTTCTGCCTGCAGATCGGCGCTGTCAGCAGCTGTGACGGCATCACTTGAGGTCCATGGCCCTTAGCCCAAGGCTTTTGAGGGAGGCAGGATGGAGACCTCCTTTCTCCTGGTGTTTGGGGTGTAGCACCAGGTTGCGGCCAGCATCACAAAGCCGAGATGAAGGTGGAGACGTAGCAGTTGGTCATTGGTACAACCCAGCTCCCTTTGCTGGAGGCATTCTCTCTCCACATTGCTGGTGGTCCGTGTTTCCCAACCAGGCCTCTGGGGGTGATGGCATCGACTGGGGAGATGACTTGGCCACGCTGCAGATCACAGTGGTGGAAGCAGGAACTGAGGGTAGGTACCCCGTGCCCGCAGCCACAGCAAGTGCACGTGTTGGCAGAACACTGCCAAGGTTGGACTTCTTGCACGTTTAATCGCCTCTGATCTTGAGGGGGAGTGTGCATGGAGGGGAGCAGAAAGGTCTGTAAGGTCAATGTTAGAGCTTCCATGTGAAAGTTCTTGCGGGGCCACTAGAAGGCCTTCCCCACCACACAGGAGGCAGCAACAGCTGAGCCACTAGAGGGCAGTACAGGCTGAGATTTCACTGGCAGCGGCCAGCGGAGCCAGGCAGGCAGGGGCTGCTGCTGGGGCCTGATTAGGGATTTGGGTAAAGGGCTCCTTGCACTGGGGCTGGGACTGGAAGTGGCTGTACAGCAGGGCCTTCTGTCCACCCCAGATTCATGAAGATCGCTGGCCCTCAAACTCTTTCTCTCTTCTGTCTCTTACTGACAGCTCCAGAAGGTGTCGCTCGGGGCCCAGACGCCCTTACACTCCTTGAATATCCAGAGACCCGAAATCAGTTCATTGATGAGCTCATGGAGGTACGCTCACCTGTGGAGCCCAGCCCAGGCGACATCCCCCCTGCCCCAACCTGACCCCTCCTGTTCGAGTGAAGGACGCTGTAGCAGGAACTCTGTGCCCTCATTTGAACCTCTTCTCTGTCCCAGACCCCTTAAAGTGCCCAGTGCCACGCCATGCGCCAGCGAGTGAGCAGTCAGCAAGGCAGCCAAAGTGCTTGACATCACAGGGCGTATGTGCTAGTGAGAAAGGCAGATGCACCCCCAGAATAGTGAGACACGCAAAGTGTGGGATGTAATGAATGCCGCAGGGGTGCAGAGGGAGGGCGCCCTGAGAAGCACCAGTGGGCGCAGCGCAGAGCCACGCAGAGGTCTGGTGTCGGGGCAGGGTGGGGTGGGGGGTGCTAAAGGGGACCCGGGTGGAGACAGGGAGCCTTGCATATCTGCCTGACAAGGAGACCAGTGTGGCTGAGCTGAGAGGACAGAAGGGACGCTCAGGAAAATGAAGAGATGCTAAACTTTGGCTTGGACTCTGAGTAAGCCAGGAAACTGTTGGAAGGTTTCTGTTAAGATGTATGTATTTATTTGAAAGGCACGGTGAGTGACAGACAGAGACCTTCAGTCCACTGGTTCACTCTCCAGCTGCCCACAATGTCAGGGGCTGGGACAGCCAAGGGCAGGAGCTAGGAACTCACATCTGGTCACCCACATGGGTGGCAGGAACTCAAGTACTCAAGCCATCACCTGCTGCCTTCCCGGGCCCGTTGGCAAGGAAGTGGATCAGAAGCAGAGAAACCTGGACCAGATGGTAGCTTTCCCTAGGGGATGCACGTGTCGCAAGCAGTGCAGAACACACTGCACCGCAGTGCCCCCCTCCATTGCCAGTTTTGTGTTTCTACCCAATGCTCAGAACTAATGTGTTGAGCCACTCAGAGTTGAGTGCAGTGTTCTTGGTGGATGCTCCTTTTGTCTTGAGAAACCAGAAGCGTGCCTTGTCTCTGGGTGTGTTGCAGGTTGGGGAGCGCCTCCTCACGCAGGCCCTTCCCTGCTGGAAGGGATTCTTTCTAGTGGTATCAGGGGAGGAGGACAGTGGGTGAGGGGTCTTCCTGACTGGAGGAGGTGGCCCAGCCCTACGGCTGCTCTTCCTGTGTTAATGGGAGGGACTCTCACTCCTCCCTCAGGGTATTCCTAGTTGAAGGAGGGAGGAAGGCCCAGGGCTAGGCAGGGATGGCCCTCAAGAGTGAGAGGAATGAGAGGAGGCTCAAGAGTGTAGCAGGGTTTCCCTCTGCAGTTGGGGTTCTAGCAGGAAAAGTGTTGCCACAACCCTTCCTCACCCCACATCCAGCCCTCCCTTCTCATTCCCTCGAGCCCTGCTTCCCGGGTGCCTGGACTCCAACCGTTTTCCTCTTCCATTGTCAGCTCGAGATCTTCCTGACCCAGAGAGCGGTGGAGATGAACGAGGAGGCAGACATCCTGGCCATGAGCCAGTTCCAGCTGGCTCCCGCCATCCTGCAGGGTCAGACCAAAGAGCAGATGGTTACCATGGTGGCGACACTGCAGGATCTGATAGGCCGGCTCACCAACCTGCGAATGCAGCACCTGTTTATGATCCTGGCCTCACCCAGGTCTGGCCGTCTCTGGGCACAGGGCTCTGCCATCTTGAGCAGCTCTGCTTCCTTGGCATTCCTCTTCTCCTTGCGTTACCCCTTAAGCACCTTCCCTGCCTCCCGTGACATCATCTTCACCTGGGGATGGAAGTTCTCTGGGGCAATAAGGACAGGGTTCAGTACGTAGAGGCAGAATCCGCCCCCAGGTTGGACCAAACGACCAGAAATGGGCATTGTCCTCCGAATGGAGGATTTCAGGATGGAGGGGGTAGGAGGCGCACAGGGATTTGGTTTTCCCAAGTGAGCCTCGCTCTGCCTGGCCGCTGAATAGGAAGGCTACAGGTACACAGCCCTGCCCACACTCACCTGAGTGCCCTGCTCAGGTACGTGGACCGAGTGACCGAGTTCCTCCAGCAGAAACTGAAGCAGTCCCAGCTACTGGCGCTGAAGAAGGAGCTGATGGTGCAGCGGCAGCAGGAGGCGCTTCAGGAGCAGGCGGCTCTGGAGCCCAAGCTGGACCTGCTGCTGGAGAAGACCAAGGAGCTCCAGAAGCTGGTGAGACGGGATGGGACAGGCCACGGGATGGAGTGACAGTGCAGGCAGAACCAGCTCCTGCACCTGCGCCTCTGCCCTCGCCCATGCCAGCGGCTGTCTGTTACAGATTGAGGCCGACATCTCCAAGAGGTACGGCGGGCGCCCCGTGAACCTGATGGGAACCTCGCTGTGACTCCCCTCCCTCTGCGTCCTTTCCTGTCTGACTTCCCAGCCACTTAGTGGCCTTGGGACAGCCAGGGATAATGTCACAGGGTCCTTCCGATCAGGCCCATCAGAGGACGGAAGTGCCCCCAGACAGAGGCTCCCTGCAGGGAGGTGTCCCGGTTGGTCCCGTGCCCAGACCTTGGACCACAGTTCCTCCTGCTGTAGCTAGTTGGACTTAATAAAAGAAGACAGACACTTGCTTCTCTGCTGCCCATTCCTTCCGCCCTGAGTCTGGAGCTGGAGCTGTGCACCTGTTCTTGTGGGGGTCTTTTCCTGGGCCATTTGGGCTGAGGACATTTTTCCCTGAGGATGAGTGGGCCCAGGCTAGAATGTACAAATGGCTAAGGAGTGGCTGTGTCAGCCGGGTCCCTTCCTGCCCAGCGCCAGCCTGCGGGAGACAGTCAGACGGCTGCCCTCTTGGAGCCCGCAAAGCCACATTTTCCGTTTAATCACAGCTCACCTCCGGGCAGTGGTTTGGGGTACGGGTCTGATAAACAAGGCGGAGCTGGGAGTTGTCACCCTCCCCAGCCGCCTGGCTCTGCCTGCCTGCTGTGTGATTGGGCAGAACCCACCCTAGGATAGCACCCCTCTCCCCAGTCCCATTTCCCAGGAAGGGAAGGGGCTGGGGGTGGCCAGCAATTCGATTTTAATTTCATAGCAGAGCAGTTGATTCATGGCTCTTTGTCGCCGGCGTTGACTCCCGTAATGACTTTCCATCAAAATGAAAAGTGGAGTGACACCACTCATTATTCCTGCTGCTTGTTATCTCAGTTCTGGGGAGGGCCGCCCCCTCCCCGCTGCCTTTCAGCCTGCCCGGACAGTGAGTGATGGCCCCTATTAATCACCGACCCCGCGGACTCGGGCGGACACACGCCGTCCAGAGGAGAGCGAGATAAGGCAGCATGAACTGCTCGGAGCCGCTCCTATCAATTAATGTCAGCCCATCGCTGCCCCCCAGTCTGCCTGCTCACCTCCTTTTGGGGGGAATCGAAGTTGAGGAGTCCAGGAATCAAAAAGGAGAGTGGGATATGGAGGCAGAGCTGTCCTTCCCACAGAAGGGCGCAGAGGAGCCTGGGCAGCCTGAGTTCTGCACTCCGCCCTGGCCCACACCACTGCTGGCTGTCCCCCACCTCACCCTGATACCCCTTGCCCAATCCCCAACTGTTCTCCAGGCTGCCACTGCTTCTGGGACCACCACTGCAGGGAACAGTCCTGTGGATCACGTGACTGGCCGGCTCCCAAGCCCCTGCTGTTGCCCTGCAGGTGACCTGCCTTCTGTGTCCCGCCTGGGACCCACAGGAGAAGTTTGTGCGCTGGCATGCACGTGTGTTTGCACAGAGGAGCCACTGGCCTGGCACTGGCCTGGCACTGGCCTGGCTCCAAGCCTGGGATCCGCTTCACTGCTTGTCTGATCATGTGAAGCCCACCGTGACCTCAGGGCTGAAGGAGGTGGGAAAAGCCTTAAAGGCCCACAACTGTGGATTTGCTTTCCACGTCATTCAGCCCCACCCCGGGCTTGTCCCTTGCCTTCGCTGCACCCTGCTTGCAGCTCTGCTTGCTGTGTTTGCATCGCCCCCGGGGTCATTGCTGTGAGAATTAAATGAGTTGGGGGTAAGGGAGGGTGGGCAAAGCTGCTAGCTTGGTGCCCCGCACTGGGCTGCAGCATGCACTTGGCCTGAGTCCCTGCAGGTGGGATAAGAGCACCCTGTCCTGGCCCAACTTGCCCTCCTGTGAGGGAGAGCTAAGGACTCTTTGCAGGGTGTGAAGATCAAGTCCCCAGCAGTCAGGTTTCCAGGGTTGTAGCAAACCATTTGGGCCAAGAAGGACACAATGGCCAAGGTGACACCCCAGGGCCACTGTAGGGCACTGTGGGCTAAAGTGCAGCCTATGATGCCACCATTCCAATATCTGACTCTTAAAAAGGGGTCCTGGCACGATGGCTCAATGGCTAAATTCTCACAAATGCCAGGATCCCATATGGGTATCAGTTTGTATCCTAGCTACTCTACTTCCCATCCAGCTCCCTACTTGTGACTTCAAAAAGCAGTGGAGGATGGCCCAAAGCCTTGGGACCCTGCACCCACCGGGAGACCCAAAAGAAGCTCCTGGCCTCTCCGGCTGTTGCTATCCACTTGGAAAGTGACCAGTGGATGAAAGATCTTTGTTTCTCCTTTTCTCTGTAAATCTGACCTGCCATTCCAATAAAAGTAAACCTTAAGAAAGAAAAAAGCTTACTTCCTCAGAATCCTTAGTTTGTTGCTGATAGAGTGCTAAACGTAATAGGCTAAGCATCTACCTGCAGCACTGGCATCCCATAGGGGCACAGGTTCTGGCCCAGCTGTTCCGCTTCTGCCAGCTCCCTGTTGATGGCCTGGGAAAGCAGCAGAGGATGGTGCAAGTCCTTGGGCCCCTGCAGTCACATGGGAGACCCAGAGAAACTCCTGGCTCCTGGCTTCAGACTGACCAAGCTGTGGCCATTTGGGGAGTGAATGAGCAGATAGAAGGTCTCTCTCTGTCTCTTCTTTGTAACTCTTTCAAAGGCAAAAAAAAAAAAATCATATGTATATGTTTGTGTGTATCATTTCCTTTTTTTTTTAAGATTTATTTTTATTTTTATTGGAAAAGCAGATATACAGAGAGGAAGAGAGACGGAGAGGAAGATCTTCTGTCCAGTGATTCACTCCCCAAGTGACTGCAGCAGCTGGTACTGTGCCGATCCGAAGTCAGGAGCTAGGAACTTCCTACAGGTCTCCCACACAGGTACAGGGTCCCAAGGCTTTGGGTTGTCCTCGACTGCTTTCCCAGGCCACAAGCAGGGAGCTGGATGGGAAGTAGAGCTGCTGGGATTAGAACCGGCGCCCATATGGGATCCTGGCGTGTTCAAGGTGAGGAATTTAACTGCTAGGCCACTGTGCTGGGCTTGATGTGTGTCATTTCTTTATTTGAAAGGTAGAACAACAGAGAGGAAGATCTCTTCCATGGGCAGGGCTGAAGCCAGGAGCCAGGACTCTGTCGAGGTCTCTCATGTGGGAGCAGGGGCCTGAACACTTGGGTCGTCTGGGCTGCCTCCCCAGGTGCGTTAGCAGGGGCCTGGATCGGAAGTGGAGCAGTCCGGACTGGAACCGGCACACCGAAATGGATTGCAGCTTAACCCTCTGCACCATAGAACCTTTCCCTCGCCTGTCACGCTGTTAACTCCCTCACTTCTTTTTTTTTTTTTTTTAAAGATTTATTTTTATTATTTTTTCATTGGAAAGGCAGATATACAGAGAGGAGAGACAGAGAGGAAGGTCTTCCGTCCGATGATTCATTCCCCAAGTGAGCGCAACGGGTCGATACTATGCCGATCCGAAGCCAGGAGCCTCTTCCGGGTCTCCCACGCGGGTGCAGGTTCCCAAAGCTTTGGGCTGTCCTCGACTGCTTTCCCAGGCCACAGGCAGGGAGCTGGAAGGGAAGCGGGGCTGCCGGGATTAGAACCGGCGCCCATATGGGATCCCGGGCGTGCAAGGCGAGGACCTTTAACCACTTGCACCACCGCGCCGGGCCCAACTCCTTCACTTCTTTCCAGATATGATCTAGGGCCATGTCTTTCATTCGGCTAAGACCAACAGGGAAGCAGTGAGTTGCTTTCCCAGAATCCTCTCTTGGTCCCCAGAAGTTCCTATGCCTGCACCAGAGACCAGGAGCCCCGTGCACTGCAGCCTGTGGCTCCTCAGCTCACCTCACCTGAATTTAGGCCAAGCAGGTGCTGAGGAGCTCCTATCTGGGTTCTGGCAGCCATCCCTGGGCCCCCTTCCGGGCTGGGAAGGGACACATGGCATCATGCTGCCCAGAGAACTTGCCCCCTCTGCCCGTGTGGGATACAGAATGACCTGCTCCAGAGAACTGACTGGGAGCTGAGGATGGACAATGTGCCACCCAGGGCCTGCTTCCCCCTGCACCCCCTCACTAATTCAGATGTTGCTATGACTTCCCCTGCAGAAACCCAGGCCTATAGCTCCCCTTGGCCATGTCCCAAGCTCCTGCCTCTTCCATGACTGGTGCTGACTTCATTTTTTTTCATTGCCTCTTGCTTAGCCTCCTCCTCCCTCCCCTGCTCCTGCACGTGCACGCCAGAACTCTAATGAGAGTAGCAGACACGAGCAGGTGAGGGAATGTGGTGGGCTGCTTGGTTCAGATTCTGGCCCTGTTCTTGCCCCCATGTGCTTTTGCTGAGCTCCTGCACCTCTGTGGACTCCACTTCCTTCACCTGTACAAAGAAGCACGAAAACCCCACACACAGCCTTAGAACCAGACCTGGCAAAGCGAAGCTCAATGATGGGCAGGGATGGACCAGGGTCAGAACCCTGCAATCTGGTCTTTGCCCCAGAAGCGCCCTGCATCCCAGCACTTTCCAGCTCAGCTTCCTTGTCATTCCCACCCATACTGCATCGCCAACATCCCCTTATCTCCATTTGCACTATCAGTAGTCTCCCAGTCTACTTGCTCTTTCTCTCTCTGTAAGATATGTCTATTTTAAGGAGAAAGCGAGATCTTCCATCTGCCGGTTCACTCCTCAAATGGCTGCAATGGTCTGGGACAGGCTAAAGCCAGCAGTCTGCAGCCCTTCCAGACTCCTCTCTCTTCCTCTGGGTGCAGGGACCCAAGCACTTGGGCCCTCCCTCCCTGCCTTCCCAGGTGTGTCAGCAGGCAGCTGGGTGGGAAGTGGAGCATTCGCCACAAAAATAGAAAGAAAGCGGGTAGTGAAGTCCCCACTTGGGATGCCTGCAACTCTTCGATCACAGTCGCAGCTCCTGTGTGTCTCACCCAGCTTCCTGCCAGTGAGCACCCTGGGAAACAGCACATGATGGCTCCAGAACTTGAATTCCTTCTCCCCATGTGGGAGACCCAGAAGGAGTTCCAGGCACTTGGGTTCAGCTGGCCTGGCCCTGGATGTTGAGGGCATTCTGGGGAATGAACCAGCAGCTGGAAGATCTTTCTCTTGTGTGTCCTCTGACTTTCAAATAAATGAAAATTTCAAAAGAAAAAAAGAGTTTAGAGAAAGCAGCCTGCGATTAGACTGAAATCCTTTCCCTGCACCCCTTTGTGCAGAGCACCTGCTGGGCCTCTAGCCTCCTCCTCTTTCTCTGTGTGCTGGAGAGGCAGAGCCAGGCTGGCTGAAGCCCCATCCTCCTGGGGAGGTCACTGCCTTGGGGACCCA